CTTAGCTTGGCTGGGGCTCCCTGGGCTATGGGGTTGTGGTCAGGGGCTGAGGCCTTCCGGCTGGCCGCTCATTAAAAGGGGATTAGGCCAGGAGCCAGGGGGCCAGCCCAGTCCCCGGGCCTTCCTCTGAGGCCCCTCACAGCTTTGGGGAAGTGATAAAAGGTTGGGAGGCCACCCTTCCCCAAAACTGTGAGGGTGTCTAGAAGGGAGTGATTGGGCCTTGTCGCTGCTGCCCCTGCCACCATATATATCTGTTTCCACTTCAGATTCCCTCCTTAGAGGGCAGGAGGTCTGTCTTTTCCAACACTAATAAAGACCCTGGCCAGGCACTCCCCACCCCATGCATTTCTCTTCAGCTCAGGGATTAGGGCTGCACCAGCCCACACAAGTCAGAGGTCAGGACTGGGCTGCAGGGGCCTGTCCATCACCCCCGAAGTATCCAGCACAGCTGGGGGGAGGTGATGCTGTCAGTCAGGACCTGCTGCTTTTGTGGGAATTTAAGTAAGGGGGCGGATGCCCATCTCTGCTCCAAGATCCCTCTTTCTTCAGCAGCTCCTGTCTCACTGACACCTGACCTGGTGTCCTAGAGACAGGCAGCAAGGGATAGGGGGTTGCCCACTCAGGGATCTGGGGGTGAGGGTTATGGACCTGCCTCCTCAGTGCCCATGCCCACCCACCACCTCCTTCAGACTAAGGCATTGTCAGCTTCTTCCCAGAGATGAAAATATAGAGACCCCCTAGGACTAAGCCCCTATGTACTGAGAATGTTCCTGCTTCTGGACCTTTGCCAAATTGTTCTGGGCCCGGACCCTGAGAGTCTAAAGGCTATGAGGGAGTGTTAGAGGCTGGGAACTGCTGCGGAAATGAGGTGTCTGGTGCCAGAAAAGGCTCTTCCTTCCTGATGACGGGGAAAGGCCTTCTCCACCCAGCTGTGCCCAGTGTGAATGAAGGTATGAGGCTCTTCCCAGGGGGCATCACCCAGGCATATCTCCCACCCAAGGGCCTAGAGGTTAAAGTTCATCCAGGCTAAATCCAGGTACCTACAGAGCCCTCACTTGTGCCCAGCTCCCTCCTCTGATATTGCCATGGGGATTGGAAAAGGGTAACACTCCTGCTACAAGTAGGGCAGAAATGAGGACAGGCCTGAGGACATGGTCAAGCTGGGTTCACGCAGCCCTGACTTTCCCTTACTGATACTTCTTTGGGCCCTGGGTCCTCTTGGCCCAAGTTCCTTTAGGGGATCTGGGGCCAGTAGGTTGTGACCCCTGCTGACACTGAAGGTGTTAAAGGAGAGTACCAATGGCCAGCCAATGCCACTCATCACTCACTCCCTTCCCTGAGACAGGCATCCAGAGGAATGTAGAGCACCAGTACATTCAGTGGAGTGGGGATTGGGCAGAATACAAATGCAACCCTCATCCTGTGACCTGCAGTGACCACTGCTTTCCTGGGCCTCAGTCTTCTTCCCTAGAGCTAGGGGTGCAGTGCTGTCTTGGAGCCCTTGTTTCAATTCCTTCCAACAATTTGGCGTGAATGAAGTTAACATTCCAGTCATCAGTCCTACACCAAGTTTGCTTTGTGATCCTGGAAAACACCTGCTTGTCTCTGCCTCAGTTTCCCCTCCTGTAGGATGGGTAAAGGGGAATAATTTGGGATTTAGCTCTCCTCCTATAGGTTGCGGGATGGTGTAGACAGGTTGGAATTGAGGTGGAGAGAGCTGAGATGAGTCAGCAGGAAGCCCCTTCCTGCCCCATTTCTCTCTCTCCTGTTCCTGAGAAATGGGATTGTTATTGTTGTTGTTATGTGCCGTGGAGTTGGTTCCGACTCATAGCGACCCTGTACAGGGTTTCCGAGGCTGTAAATCTTTACGGGAGCAGAAAGCCTCATCTTTCTCCCGCCGAACAGCTGGTAGTTTTGAACTGCTGACCTTGTGGTTCGCAGCCGGATTCATAACCACTACGCTGGAATACAGGGATGGCAATGGAGTGGGTGGGACATTCTCACAAGAGAGTGACAGCTGGGAGCTACTTCCTTAGGGAATCCCAACCCTTTCCCTTCTCCCTCACCAAAGGCAGAGACCACCATGAAACATGAGTGGGAGGAGGGCCCAGCTATAAGCATCTCCTTAAGCTCAGAACAGAACTCCCACCCTAGCATTGCTTTGAATGTTAGTACTCATACTAGAGAGGTCCCAAAAGATAGTCTAGACTGGAAACTGAGGTTTAGAGAGGCAAAGTGCTCTGTGACTAGGGTCATGAAGCCCAGGCCAGCACCTAAGCCATCATCACTGAGGTTTCCTACTCTTGGTCTCACCCACCTGAATGCTCCCTGCCACCATATCTCTCCCCCCCACCCCACCCCCAAGTTTCCACAGTGATCAAAGCATCACGTCCTGTGACGGGAGCCATTGACGCCATATCCTGTGGCCACTGGGAGGGGTCCCGAGGGTCCTGAGTCATGCGCCCCGTCATGACAGGAGGGAGAGTCACCTTCCGGCCATGGCCCTCCCTGAGGGACTGTCTCCAGCAGGATTAGCTTCCCCTGGGTCTCCCCACCTTCAGTGACCTAGGTGGGAGTCTCACAACATCAGTGCCCCTTGGCATGTCACCTTCATATTGTCATCTGTAAATTGGACACTGTGAACACAGGGCTTCCTACAGAGCGTTGTTTGATGACTGTGGGAGGCCCCCCCCCCCATCAAGGACACATTGGAGGGCGCTAAGGGCAGAGGTTGAGAGGCAGGATGTTGCTTGAGTCTAGTCTCCTGCCCCATCTAAGTGTCAATTTCCTCACATTGAATGATTCCTGCTCTGCCTTACTCACAGAAAGATCTGGAGAGCGGGAATGCTGGGTTTGTGGCTTGGGTGGGGTGCTCGACTTGGGGAGTCATAGAACAGCAGAGTGGACAGGACTAAATTGTAAAGACCCAGGCTGGGTAGGGGTGCAGGGTAGCAGTTATGGCTAGTTGGATCTCTCAGGGCTAGATGTCTGGAACTATCACCCACCCCAGGTGCCATTGTCTAGAGGTATCCTCATGAGTTCCTGCCCTCCCGCCCCCCGTTGCCCCCAAAGTGTCCCTAGCCTAGCTAGATGGGTTCAGGGCACCATCAAGGCCATGCCCCCATCCGGAGTATAAATAACCCCTGGCGGACTGTTCCAGCCTGGGGGGGCTCCGCTGGCAGCCCTACTTCCTCTCTGGCTACTTCCCGGCCCTGGCGGTCAGGGAGTGTTTACTTTCCTGTTGTCACTATAGCTGGGTGGCCAGGCAGGGGACTCCGAGTGGCCCAACAACAGATGCAGGACAGGTGCCTGGGCTGCCCTGCCCAGGACTTCAGAGGCGCCGCCGGACAGGCGGGTGAGTCCAAAGCCAGGCAGGGATCGGCCCTTTGATCCTTGGCGTCCCTGCGTCCCAGTGGTTGGCCAAGGTCATCACCTGTATTTCCTTGTCACCACTAGTCAGGGCTGGACAGGGCAAGACCTTTTCCTGCCCCCAAGCCCTCTGAGTGAGGTCTTGGTACCACACATGGGTTCTGGGGCTGCTGTGGGAGCCTCCTGGCCCTATCCCACCTCAATTACGCCACACCGATCTTGGAATTTCTGTCTAAAGCTGCTCTCAGGGAAAGCCACTCCAGCCCCTCCCCAGGGTCCCCAGTTACAAACAGCAGGGGTCAAGGACAGCTGCCCACCCTGAGTGCAGGTTGACCTTGATGGATGGCATGGAGCTACCTGCTGCTCCAGGGCATCAGACCCCAGCTGTTCTCCCCTTTCAGGAGCCTTGCAGCCTGGCTCAGGCCTCCCTTGATTGTCCCATCTGTGAAATGGGTCCCCATCTGTGAGGAGGGGAGGCATAGTGTGATCTCCTTTGTGAGCACTGCCTCTGATGCAGGACACACGTGTGCACATGTACATATCGGGACCATGTGTATACATACATGCGCTCTTCTGTGTGTTGCCATCCTGAGCCTCCTATGCTTGTGAATATTCATCACCTTCATTATAATCCACTCTCTTGCTGAGCTAAATATAGCTGGGGTGGAGGAGGAGCTTGCCAAGGAGACCCTCTGCAGGGTTCCCCCTCATCACCACCAGAGACAGGTCCCCAAGCTTCCTGGAGTCCTGGGTCTGCCATTTCCTTGAAGGAAGAAAGAGGGCTTTCGCTAACAACCTGGGGTTGGGAGGGCCAAAGCTGCTGGCAGGTACAGACCACCAAAGAGAAAGCAGAGGACCCAACTGTATCTGCCCCAGCTCTGGGGACTCTGCAGCTCGATGCGTCTGTCCTAGGGATGACTGTCCCTGGATGGCCCACTGTTACCTGAGAAACCCACCAGAGCAGCCTGGTAGCACCAGCATTGTCCTACCAGTCTAGGTAGAGGCACTGCAGACCTATGAGTCATGGGGAGCCCCCTCCTACCATCGCCAGTCTTAGAGAAGGTAGGAGGTCTGTGAGGGAGCCTGGCTCGATCAGGGCTTTCCAGTGTCCTGTATTGGGGAGCCTGCTTTGTGCCAACTTTGCCCTCGGCCAGGGGTGGGGGACAGTGGGGTAAGGACAGGGCAGCCAGTAGGGCCCTATGCCCTGACACACCTGCCCACTCACACCCCACCCCCACCTGTTCATTAACCCTTTTAACCCCTGTGGGAAGCTGGCCCCACCCTGAGCGTGGGCACATTAACCCACCCCTAAGCCTAAAGAGTCTTTGATGCCATCACGTGCCCTGACCCGTACCCACTGCCTTTTCACTGGGACCCAGAGACTGGCTGGGCTGCTACTGAATCAGGGGTTTAGCTTTGGGTGTGGCCCCTTCCCTGGCCTTCCCACCTGTCCCACTTTCTCTCTTTCAATTGGAGAGGAACCACAGTAGGCCCTGAGAGGGGACCTGGGGCTTAGGTCAAGAGTGGAATCTGAACCCTAAGGAAAATCTCAGGCCTTTGTCCTCTGTCAAAGGGAGTATGACTGGGTGATCTCTGAGGGTTCTAACTGCTGCCCTGTTTTCCACCCACAGAACTTAAGGCCACAGGTACCGCTCACTTCTTTAATTTCCTGCTCAACACCACTGACTACCGAATCTTGCTCAAGGATGAGGATCATGATCGCATGTACGTCGGCAGCAAGGACTATGTGCTGTCGTTGGACCTGCATGACATCAACCGCGAGCCCCTCATTGTAAGGGCGGGCACAGATAGAGGGCATTGGGGGTGAGGGCCTGGGACTCAGGGACTTGGGGCCCTGTCTAGCAGATGTCCCCTCTGAGCCCTCATCTCCGGCAGATCCACTGGGCAGCCTCCCCACAGCGCATAGAGGAGTGCGTGCTCTCAGGCAAGGATGGCAACGTGAGTGCTGTGGGTCCCATAGGTGGGAGGTGGGATGGTGGGACAGGTAACCCCAGGGAGGGAATGGAGCCAGGCAGGCACCTGGGCACCTCCACGGCTCTTCCTCTGGCCTCCAGGGTGAGTGCGGGAACTTCGTCAGACTCATCCAGCCCTGGAACCGAACACACCTGTACGTGTGTGGGACAGGCGCCTACAACCCTATGTGCACCTATGTGAACCGAGGCCGCCGTGCCCAGGTAAGCTGAGACCATCCTGACCCTGTGCTGCTCCCACTGGTGGTTCTGTTCCGGGGTCCTGCTGCGATGAGGGACTTGAATCCAGCCCTGCCACTTCCCAGCCCAGTGACCTTGGGCAGGTGACTTGGTTCACCTGTCTGAGCCTCAGATCCCTCATCTGAAAATGGGGCTAATAACTGCCTTTCTCACAGGTTGATGTGAGGAGGAGGAGGCAATGAGATGTTAGCGCTGTACCTATAATGTATTGAGCACTCAGTCGCTGCACACATGTCTCTGCCCATGGACTGTGTCCCTCCGGCCAAGCCAGAGTCTAGTGGGGCATCAGCATCAGGAGGCTGGATACCAGGGTCAATTTCTACCACATGGCTAGGGATAGCTACCTTCCTCCCCCAGGTCCAGGAAGTTGGGGGAGCTGCCGCTGCCCAGCTCTACCCTTCCTTGCCTGCTTCTGCCCTTTTCCATTTCCATGTGGGCACATATGTGAGCCACTGTGACAGACATGTGTGCGAGTGACTGGATCTAAGGGGCCCATGTGTGTGCAGATGTTCACCAAGCCTGTGTGTATGTGTGCATGTGCATAACTGGACTCTGAAATCCATGTGCTCATGTGTATGCCTGGCATGTGTGGTGTGAGAGACTGGCAGCCCCAGCCCGCTCCCCCAGCCCCTGCCCCCTGCAGCTCTAACCCTGTTCCTCGTTTCCTTAGGCCATGCCATGGACCCAGATGCAGGTGGTGAGAGGCCGAGGCAGCAGAGCCACCGATGGTGCCTTTCATCCGACGCCCAAAGCCCCACGCCAGGTGGGCTTCATCCCTCCAGGCCCTCACCAGACAGCACAACTTTGAGCTGAACTCATCCTGGGCCTTTAGCCAAGAATATAGACTCCAGGCCAACCTCCCCAAAGTCTTCCCAGGACCTCAGTGCCCCTTTACTTCCCCACAGTGCCCCAGGCTCAGAAAGCACTCTCTGCTGGACCCATATCAACCTCAGGGTTACCCTTATAGGCAAGAAGTCATTAAGTGAGGAGGATAGGGGCTGTGGGGACAGCTGAACCTCCACCATTCAGAACACTTGTATATAGATATTCTGAAGCACAATACCAGCATACACAAGGGCTCGCAAGCGCACACCCTACTGAGTACCCCAAGTGAATCCATGGCTTGTGTCTGCAGCCGGACACATTGCTCTCAGGTGTTCATGGCCATGCCTTGGGTACAGGCTTTCTTCCCCTGGGTGGGAGGGGGAGAACTCTCTGTTCACTAGCTGTGACCTGGGACTGAACTGGAGGAGCTGGGGCTGGGCAGGGGCGGGCAGGGGACAGGGGCTGCCAGTGAATGACGAGCAAGTGGTCACTGGAGCATGTGTCTGTGCGGGCATTGCTGTGGATCAGGAGGAGCCCAGACTCAGCATGTGTGTCTTGGGTGTGAGTAGTGGTCCCGAGTGCTAGCCGTGATGCGTGCTGAGCTGTGCGTGCAGCCCCTATGTGTGCAGAGTATAACTGGAAGCAGGCCTGTGTGCACCTTCATTTCACCATTCCCGCCACCTCCTACCTCCTCCTTCCTGCCTCTGTGCCTCTCTTCTTGCCCCTTTCCTCCCTTCTCATCTTTCCTTCATGGCCCATAAGCTCATCCTGGTCCTACTGCTTTCACCAGTCTCCCTCCTAGCATCTTCCGGGCTGAGCCAGGAGACACAAGGGGCCTAGGTCATTTTTGTGTGGTATAAGGAGCTCTGGTAGCGTAGTGGTTACGAATCGGGCTGCTAACCTCAAGGTCGGCAGTTCGAAACTACCAGCGGTTCCGCGGGAGAAAGATGAGGTGTTCTGCTCCCGTAAAGATTTACAGCCTCAGAAACCCTATGCAGGGTCACTATGAGTCAGAACCGACTCCACGGTACTTAACAACAGCAACAAGTTAGAATCCTCAATTCCTGACTCCGTGGGGAGAGCTGTGGAGCTCAGGGTTCTGTCAGTGAGCAGGGGGAAAAGTTCATGACCTACTGGTACTTTTTAAGGACCACAGGTACTGTACAAAGCCTGGGGACACAGTAACCTCAAAGTGCCCTGGCTTGATAGGACGAGGTGACAAAGAACAGAATCCCAGGTCCTTTATGCCCCCCTGCCTTGGTCAGGTCTGCAGCCCTTCTTGGCCCTCTGTGGCTCAAGAGGGCTTTGGATAGAGTACTCTCAAGCCATTTGGCATGGAGGGGCTTCAATCCCAATAAACCCACACCATGACCCTAAAGTAGGGCCCCCAAGACCCAATCCTTAGGTCTTCCCTAAGAACTGGGAGCTGGAAGAACTTCCCTTGGAACCAAGAGCATGGCCCTGCCCCTGGAGACCTGGCTGGATGGAACTCAAGCCCAAGATCTGGGGAATGCAGTGGGAACCTTCAGGACATCCCTTCGGGCTCACTCTTGCCCTGGGCACCTGGCAACCCTTAGCCTTTCCAACTTGGACAGTGCTGAGCCCCTGTCTTCCTGCAGGATTACATCTTCTACTTGGAGCCTGAAAGACTCGAGTCAGGGAAGGGCAAGTGTCCGTACGACCCCAAGCTGGACACGACCTCAGCCCTCATCAGTGAGTGCCCCCACCCAACCCTGGTTCTACAGGGTGACTATGCAATCTGTGTCTCTGAAGTGGTGGGTGTGGGGAGGGTGGTGCCAGTGCTCATTCCAGGGCAAAGGACGAGAACCAGACATCCTGTGGGGCCCCCATTTGGCAGTGGGAGAGAGCAGTAGGCTAGACCCCAGGTATTGGACTAAGTGGCAGAGTCCAGGTAGGTGTGAGGGCGTGTCACAAAGCATACTCTTAGTATGTCTGGGAGGTGAGAGAGACTCACAAGGAAACACCAATGGGAAACTCTGGTCCTCTGACCAACTGGGGAGAACATTTTTCTGGTCTGTGTAGGTGTCTAGGAAAGTTGGGGACTCTTCTCTGAGGAGAGGTTTTGCCTCAGGCTGAGGCTCAGGCAGGCCCCCAGTGACCTTGGCCCCTGCACTCCGCCTGTTTTCTGCCTGCTCAACCCAATCTGCCTCTCAAAACAGTTGCCAGGCACTGTGCCACCTCTAAGCCTGGGAAAGGCCCCAAGGCAGGGGCGGCTGTTACCCTCCCCCTCTTAGCTGGTGAGGCAGCTTTAGCTTGATGACAAAGCCTAGAATCCGCCACAGCTCAGTGAGTCTGATAGTGGAGATAGGGCCTTCCCTGCCCTGGGAAAACCTGAGAGGAAAGATACGGAGCAGTGAGCTGGAGCCAGCTCACTGGTTTAAATTTTCAGGAATTTTGTGAGGCAGTTGTTAAGAATATTTTAAGATCTACTTTAAATACGATGCTGTCTGTCATAGAATAATATGTATATGCTTACAAGGAAGACCAGTTAATACAACTGTTATCCAAATTTACCCACCAACCACCAAAACCAATGATGAAGAGACTGAAGAATTCTGTAAACTTTTTTCTATCTGAAATTTATCAAACTTGCAATAAGGATGCATTAATAATTACTGGTTGTTGAAATGAAAGAGGTGGAAACAAAGAGGAGGCAATAATTGGAAAATATGGCCTTGGTGATATAAATGACACTGAAGATTGCATGATGGAATTTTGCAGGACCAATAACTTCATTGTAAATACCTTTTTCCAACAACATAAATGGGAGCTAGACACTTGAACCTCACCAGATAGACTACACAGGAATCAAATTGACTACATCTGTGGGTGGAGGCAACAGAGAAGCTCAGTGTCATCAGCCAAAACAAGGCTAGGGAACGACTGTGGAACAGACCATCAATTGCTCATATGCAATATGAAGAAAATTAAAACAAGTCCACCAGAGTTAAAATACAACGTTAAATATATCCTACCTGAATTTACAGAGTATCTGAAGAACAGATTTGATGCCTTGAACACCAGTGACTGAAGATCAGAGATGTTGTGGGATGACATAAATAATGTATATGAAGAAAGCAAAAGGCCTTTAAAAATATAGGAAAGAAAAGACCAAAGTGGATGTTGGAAGAGACTCTGAAATTTGCTCTTCAATGTAGAATAGCCAAACCAAATGGAAGAAATTATCATGTGAAAGAGCGGAATAGAAATTTTCAAATGGCAGCTCTAGGAGACAAAGTAAAGTATTAAAATGTACAAAACCTGGAGTTAGAAAACCAAAAGGCAAGAACACACTCAGTATTTCTCAAGCTGAAAGAACTGAAGAAAACATTCAAGGCTCAATTTGCAGTTTTGAAGAATTCTGTAAGCAAAATATTGTACGACTCAGGAATCATAAAAAAAATGATGGAAGAAATATGCATTCATTGTACCAAAAAGAATTAGTCCATGTTCAGTTACCTCAGAATGTAGCATATGACCAAGAATTGATGGTATTAAAGAAGAAACCCAAGCTGCACCGAAGTCATTAGAGAAAAGCAAGGATCCAGGAATAGGTAGAATACCAATTGAATTGTTTCAACAAACTGAAGAAGTGCTGGAAGTACTCACTAAGCTGTGCCAAGAAACTTGGCTATCTGGCCAACCAATTGGAAGAGATCCATATTTGTGTCCATTTTAAAGAAAGGTGACCCAACAGAATGTGTAAATTATCAAATACCATAATTAATATTGGAGTCCTGGTGTAGCTCTGTGGAATAAAGCGCTAGACTACAAGGTTGGTATTAATCACAGGTTCAGCAGTTTAAATTCACCAGTTGTTAGGTGCCATCGAGTCGGTACCAACCCAAAGCAACCTTATGCACAGCAGAACGAAACACTGCCCGATCCTGGACCAACCTCACTACTATTGTCACGCTTGAGTCCATCGATGCTGCCACTTGGTCAATCCATCTCATTGGGGGTCTTCCTCTTTTTCTTTGACCATCCACCTTACCTAACATGATATCCTTCTCCAGCGACTGGTCCCTCCTGACAATATGTCTGAAATATAAGAGACTAAGTCTGGCCATCTTGGCCTCCAAGGAGCATTCTGGCTGCACTTCTTCCAAAATGGATCTGTTGGTTCTTTTGGCAGCCCATGGCACATTCAATATTCTCCTCCCAACATCATAACTCAAAAGCATCAATTCTTCTACTGTCTTCTTTATTCGCTGTCCAGTTTTCGCATGCATAAGAGATTATTGAAAATACCATGGCCTGGGTTAGGCGCACCTTAGTCCTCAAGCTGACCTCTTTGCTCTTCAACACTTTAAAAAGGTCTTGTGCAGCAGATTTGCCTAATGCAATACGTTGTTTGCTTTCTTGACTGCTGCTTCTGTGAGTGTTGGTAGTTGATCCAAGAAAAATGAAATCCTTGACAACTTCTGTCTTTGTTAATAAGAATGTTGTTTATTGGTCCAGTGGTAAGGATTTTTGTTTTCTTTACATTGAGATGTAATCCATAGCTAAGGCTGTGCTCTTTGATTGTCGTTAATAAGTATTTTAAGTCCTCTTCACTTTCAGCAAGCAAGGTTGTATCAGCTGCATATCGCAGGTTGTTAATGAGTCTTCCTCCAATGTTTTCCTTCATATAACCCAGCTTTTCTGATTATTTGCTCAGCATGCAGGGAATAAGTATAGTGAAAGAATACAACCTTGTTGCACACCTTTCTTAATTTTAAACCATTCAGTGTTCCCATGTTCTGTTTGAACAACTGCCTCTTGGTCCAGGTACAGATTCCTCGTGAGCACAGTTAAGTGTTTTGGAATATTCATACTTTTCATTGTTGTCCATAGCTTGTCATGATCCACACAATCGAAAGCCTTTGTGTAGTCAATAAAGCACAGGTAAACATCTTTCCGATATTCTCTGCTTTCAACCAAGGTTAATCAGACATCAGCAATGATATCCCTTGTTCCATGGCCTCTTCAGAATCTGGCTTGAACCTCTGGAAGCTCCCTGTCAATGTATGCTTTGTATTACCTTTAGTAAAACTTTACTTGCATGGGCTATCAAAGAGATTGTCTTAGGATTTCCGCATTCTGTTGGGTCACTTCTCTTTGGAATGGGTACAAATAGAGATCTCTTCTAATCAGTTGGCCAGATTGTTGTCTTGCAAATTTCTTGGCAGAGATGAGTGAGTGCCTCCTGTGCTGCCTCACTTTCTTGAAAGATTTCAATTTTTATTCCATCAATTCCTGGTGCCTTGTTCTTTGCCAATTCCTTCAATGCACCTTGGACTTCCTCCTTCTGTATCATTGGCTTTTGATCATATGCTACCTCTTGAAATGGTTGAACATTAACCATTTCCTTTTGGTACAGTGACTCTGTGTATTCCTTCCATCTTCTCTTGATGCTTTCTGCATCATTCACTAATTTGCTCCTTGGAAACCCTATACAGGGTCACTATGAGTCAACCAACTCAAAGGCACTTAACAACAACAGCAATCTTTAATATCATATGCAAGTAAAATTTTACAGAAAATAATTCAAAAATGGTTGCAGCAGCATATTGATAGCTGGATTGAGAGGACGTGGAACTAGTGATATCATTACTGACATCATATGGACCTTATCTGAAAGCAGAGGATGCCAGAAAGATAGTTACTTGTATTTTATTTACTATGCAAAGGTATTTGGCTATGTGGATCATAACATACTACAGATAACATTGTGAAAAATGGAAATCCCAGAATACTTCATTGTGTTCATGCAGAACCTGTACATAGACCAAGAGGCAGTTGCTATAACAGAACAAGGGATACTGTATGGTTTAAAACCAGGAAGAGTATATGGCAAGGTTGTATCCTTTCACTGTACTTAATCTATATGCTGAGCAATGTAAAGAAAACAAGAATTCTCACAATTGGAACAAAAGCTACTTCATGATAAATGAAAAAAAAATGAAGTCAAAGATTTTTTTTTTTACTTGGATCTACAATCAGTGTTCATGGAAACGGCAGTCAAGAAATCAAAAAATGTGCTGGGGACCTGGGACTGCAATTTCACAGATGCTATCTCTGTAACAAAAACAGAGTGGGGTGGGGCAAAATTTCTAGAACATAAAAACAAAACAAAAATACCCATATGTCTTTCAAAACGAACTAAGCTTCTATAGAGCATCTCTGGGCTTTTCAAAATCTATGTGGTAAGGAGCAATGCAGATGATGTTACAGAGTTTTATATTTTTGCTTGTAAATGTTGACCACCTTTTTTTTTTCAAGTAGGTTGAGAAATTTCATTTGGTGACAGCTGAAGGGCCATTTTCATTTAGGAAAATTCATTTACATCTGTGGCAAATTTTATTTATTTTCATGTTTTATTGTGATTATATGATATGTTACATTGGAGAACTTTAGTTTTACGTGCATTCCACCATACATCGTTTCATTGCCATGGTTCCAATTCCCTCCATGCATCATCAACCTACCAAAGGGTATATACCCTATAAATCCGCCCCCTACACTCCCCCCCCCCCCCCCCCCCATTCTTCAGCACACAGTCCCTCTCCCTTTCTGGATCCAAAGTCCCCTGCGGCTTCATCACTCCACGTCACGGTCTCTGCCTCCATCTCGGGCCTCGCTGCTTCTCTGGGTAGGGTCCCACTCTCAGCTCTTCTCCGTTGATGGTCCTCGAGACTTCTGCTCCTAGACTGGAGAGTTAATCACTCCCTTCCATGCTACAAAACGTCTACCTTTACATTTCCAACCCTCACAATCAGGCCTGATAACAATCATTCACTATTGTATCACAAGTGACCCTTCTGCATTTCATTTCATCAGCTCTGCCTAGACAGATTAGATAGTACTCACTGGAGATTCTGCCTTCCTCCATGCCCCCTAGCTCTAGGTTCCCTCTTGAAAGCTTGTAAGCCAGTCACTTCTTGCCTTTGTAGTCCCCCTCCCCCCCATTTGGGTATCCAATGTCCAAGTTGCCCATCTCTGTCTACTCTGTGTGTGGAGGGGGTCGGAATGTTCCTTGCTGTAAGTATTTGGGCAAACTTTATTTTGATGAAAAGTTTGCACTAGGGTTTTACCCACCAGATGAAAAAAAGATGAGCATCATTTAAAAAATTAATGTATTTTTAAATGAAGTACAGAGAAAAATATGTGTATATCAGGCTTTGTTTTAAATGGAATCTTTCCCCCGACCCTTAATGTAAAGATCTTGTCCTATAATTTTTAAAGCCATACAAATAATAATGCTAAACTATGGGCTTAAAAGTAGGTGTGTAAATGTTTTTAATTAGTAATACAATCAAAATAAAATATAACAACCACATAAAGTTAAAAAAAAGAAATCAAACCACGTATTGCATTGGGCAAATCTGCTACACTAGACCTCTTTAAAATGTTAAGAACAAAGATGTCACTTTGAGGACTAAGGTGCACCTGACCCAAACCATGATATTTTCAATTGCATCATATGCATGTCAAAGCTGTACAATGAATAAAGAGGACTGGAGAAGAATTTATGCATTTGAACTATGATGTTGAAGAATATTGAAAGAATCATGGGCTGCCCAAAGAACAAACATATCTGTGTTGAAGAAGTACAGCCAAAACGTTCCTTCGGAGCAAGGATGATGGCTAGATTTCATCTCAAATATTTGGTGTAGACTTGTTTTCAGGAGGGACCAATCTCTGGAGAAGAACATCATGCTTGGTAAAGGGTCCTTGAAAAAGAGGAAGACCCCCAACAAAATGGACTGACACAGTTCCTACAACAGTGTGCCCAAACCTAACAATGATAGTGAGGATGACACAGGATCGGGCAGTGTTGTGCATAGGGTTGCTGTGAAACACAGATCATATTAAAAATTAATTTGTATAAATTTACGACTAAATGAATTATGCTAAAAACAAAGGTAGCAAATGATCAAAACACTACTTCCTAAGTATTTTACTACACTTTACTGTTTATGCCCTTGAGACTATTTGCATCTACTATATCTGTGGGGTGGAAATAGTATATAATGGCCTTAGTAGCTAGTCTCAGTGTTCAGGGACCTCCGGTTAATAGCTTGAAATGGGCCATGATGGGAATCTACACCATAGGAATTGGCCATTGTTACCAATCTGGGCTTCCCTAGCCCAGTCCCAACCTTCCCATTGGCCTGCACACTGCTGGACATCTTGTCTGGGAAATCTAAGAGGGAGGACAGGGCCCTGCTCTGGGATCATTCAGGCTATCCCTGAGGAAAGGGCAAGCCCCTTGACTGATGGGCTGACCCACCCACAGATGAGGAGCTCTATGCTGGTGTGTACATTGATTTCATGGGCACTGATGCAGCCATCTTCCGCACACTTGGAAAACAGACGGCCATGCGTACAGACCAGTACAACTCTCGGTGGCTCAATGGTAAGCTTGGCCTGCAGAAGCTTAGATGGGCAGTGTGTCTGGGAGATCATAAAGACAACTAATAGGGAAGTCTTCAGTCCTGTAAGTAGCTGGGGGTGGGGTGGGGATGGCGGGAGTTTCATGTTTAGGGAAGAACTGAAGGTGTCCCTATGCTGGGGATTTATGTTAGGGAAGGGGGCACTGTGGGAGGAGGGGTTTGCCCACCGGATGCCCTGCCTTCCACCAGACCCTTCATTCATCCATGCCGAGCTCATCCCTGACAGCGCAGAGCGCAATGACGACAAGCTTTACTTCTTCTTCCGGGAGCGGTCAGCAGAGGCCCCTCAGAGCCCCGCCGTGTACGCCCGCATTGGGCGCATCTGCCTGGTATGTTTGGGAGGGGCCCCATACTGGACCTCAGAGGGATCAGCTCTCACTCCTGCACCCCTTCCCAGTAGTGTTTAGGGGTGAGTGAGCTGACCTGACCCCTGCTTCTTTCTCTTTAGAACGATGATGGTGGTCACTGCTGCCTAGTCAACAAGTGGAGCACATTCCTAAAGGCACGACTGGTTTGCTCTGTGCCGGGCGAGGATGGCATTGAAACCCACTTTGATGAGCTCCGTGAGTACCTAATGGATGACCAGAGGCCTGTGGTTACTATAGGAAGAATTGGCGCTGGACAGATGGATTGGGGTGCCTTCACTGGGTCCCTGGGCAGGAGTGGATAGGATTCTGGGGCTCCTGAGTAAAGTACCCTCCCAGCACTATCTCCCTCTGCCCCCAGAGGATGTGTTTGTCCAGCAGACCCAGGACGTGAGGAACCCAATCATTTATGCTGTCTTTATCTCCTCTGGGTGAGTTCAGAACCCAGGCCAGCAGGGGCAGGTGTGACCAGACTGGGGGGGCTGTGACTTGTGGAGGACCCCAGCCTGGTGGTATGGTGAGCCTGGGTTAGGGCAAGCTGGGGAGGGTCCTGGGCCCGAGGATCTGTCCTGCTCCCAGCAGCAGCCTATCCTGCCCACAGCTCTGTGTTCCGAGGCTCTGCTGTGTGTGTCTACTCCATGGCTGATATTCGCATGGTCTTCAACGGGCCCTTTGCCCATAAGGAGGGCCCCAACTACCAATGGATGCCCTTCTCAGGGAAGATGCCCTACCCACGGCCTGGCACGGTGAGGACCCCACTTCCCCCCCCCCTTTTTTTTTTCTCTAAAAGCTTCATTTTTAATTCCTTTTGTTAAGGACCTTGTCTTTTTTCCTTTTTCTTTTTTCTTTTAAATGTTTTATTGTGAGTTATGTGATAGTTTACATGGAAGAATTTGAGCTTTACATTCATCCTATCGTATATTATTTCATTGCCATGGTTACAATCCCCTCCATGCATCATCAACCAACCAAAGGATTATCCTGCAAGCCCACCTCTCCCCGCCCCACCCCAGTTGTCAACACTCAGCCCCTCTCCCTCTCTGGATCTAAAGTCCCCAGCCACCCTTTTCTTTTAAGAGTCTTGCTCCAGATCAGGCTTTACTGACATGGTCTCCACTATCATTGAGTCCAGACTGGTGGGAGAGATGGACTATAACACATAAATAAGTCCAACATGTACCTACAACATCAGATTACACAGGACCTAAGGCAGGCTACTCCTCAGAGAGTCCTCAGAGGGAATAGCTGGGACGCAGACTGTAGCTAATTGGGAAGGAGATGGGCAGTGTGCTGGGGTCAGTCCAAGTGAGGAACACATTTTGTTTTGGTGTCACAAGGGTTGTGCAGGGGTCTAAGCAGGAGAGTGACATGATCTGGTTAGAGACCACAAGCAAACATCATTCCTTGTGGTCAGCACTGGGGAGCTGATCTCAGCAGGCTTCTTCCTGGAGCTAGGTTGGAAGGAGGGAAGGAGAATACCAGGTGTATTAAGGGAACCTCAAGGTGACTGAACAGGAAGAAGAGGATGAGACTTGAAAGAGTAGCCAGAGGAAGGAGACAGCAGCAGGGTGGGGTGTGAGAGCATGAAAAGGGAGTGGTCAGCTCTACTGAATACTGCATAAGATCATGGAACGTGAGGCTAAGGAAATGGCCATGGAATTTGGCCACCATGGGATCTTAGGACCTTGGCTGGAATGATTCCTTCAGAGTGGTTGGAAGGTTGGGGGTTTTGTGGAAGGGGCATGTGGAAGTAGTGGGAAGGAACAGTGCAGGCCTGTCTGGAATGGGTTCAGTGTGCCACCTAGGCGAACTGCCACTGTTGCACCACCTGTCCACAGTGCCCTGGTGGAACATTCACGCCGTCCATGAAGTCCACCAAGGACTATCCTGACGAAGTGATCAACTTCATGCGCGGTCACCCGCTCATGTACCAAGCCGTGTATCCGCTGCAGCGGCGGCCCCTGGTGGTCCGCACAGGCGTTCCCTACCGGCTCACCACTGTTGCCGTAGACCAGGTGGATGCAGCTGACGGGCGCTATGAGGTGCTTTTCCTGGGCACAGGTACCCGCTGCTGTTCCCAGCCCCTCCCACGCTGGGCCCACTGGGAGGGGGGTGATGCTCCATGAGGGCTGGAAGCTGCCCTGCTAGAGGGTACTACAGACTCATCCAGCTCAGCTCTGCCACCTCGTCCTCTGGAGCCTTTTCCCTATTGCTGAGGTAGTTGAGACCACGGTGGGTGGACCCCACTTCCATCTCCAGGAAGCCAGGAGAGCAGTGGCAGGGACCCACCTGTAGACAGGAAATGGAGGAGGCAAAGGCTAGATACCTGCCTGATACACAGGTCCACATACTGCTGTGTGTATAGATGCACACACATCTCAACCCAGATGCAGCAGCCCCCAGCACAAGGAAGTACCTCATGGATCCTGTTCACATCAGAATAAGGGTGTGGGGTAGGGGAGCAGACCCTGACTAGGACTCTCCGTGTCCTGGGCTAGTCCCCTCAGACTTGTGTCTGGGCCTCTCATCCTGGGGAGATCCCTCAACCTTGGCACAGAACCCTTTCTCTGCTACCCTCAGGGGGTTTGGGCCCTAGTAGGGGAAGGGGCTGAGGCTAGTGCCCCTCCCCCAGCCCCACTGAGATCCTGCCCGGCCCGTTCCAGACCGAGGGACAGTGCAGAAGGTCATTGTACTGCCCAAGGATGACCAGGAGATGGAGGAGCTCATGCTGGAGGAGGTAGAGGTCTTCAAGGTAGGTGTGGTTCCACCCAGTATTTTCCTCCAGGGCAATACAGGGAGGGACCCCAGGGTGCCAAGCTAATCCCTATCCTCTTCCAGGAACCAGCAGCAGTTAAAACCATGACCATCTCTTCTAAGCGGGTGAGTCTCTGTAGCGGTAGGCTAGAGGTCCGGGTGGTCCATCCCCTTGAGGTCATGGCCTTGACACTGAGGTGGGGAAACTAAAGCACACAACAGGAATGGGAAGAAGCCTGGGCCGCACTGACTGCTGGTAGGGGCTGGCTGTGTGGAGGGATCTAACAATTCCTTGCCCTCACCCTTAGCAACAATTGTACGTGGCCTCAGCTGTGGGTGTCACACACCTGAGCCTGCACCGCTGCCAAGCATATGGAGCAGCCTGTGCTGACTGCTGCCTCGCCCGGGACCCCTACTGTGCTTGGGATGGACAGTCCTGCTCTCGCTACACGGCATCGTCCAAGAGGTGTGGGCCCCCAAGCCCCTGGGATTTCGGCCACCAGACCCTTGACCCTCTTTTGGGGTCTGGAAGTAGATATAATATTACCCTGGAGGAGTCTACAGGTTATATACATCACTCTGTCCTGGGGAAGTAGGCCCTGCCCTAAAGTTTTGGGGATACAGGGACCAGGGAGGGGCAAGCTATCCTGGGGTCACTCCTTTAAGATCTATCTTCATCTAGGCGCAGCCGGCGGCAGGATGTCAGGCACGGGAATCCCATCAGACAGTGCCGTGGGTTCAACTCCAATGGTGAGTGTGCAGCCCCTCCATATTGGGTGCTCCTCATACCACAGGGCCCCCTGGGCCCCCACTGAAGGAGTCTCTGATGGTCAGTGGGAAGAGGCTTGGGGTTTTGGAGTAGCATATTCTTGTCCCTCAAGGACAAGAATAATAGCCCAACGCTGCCTTTATGGGAGGTGGGGGAAACCCCTGTACATACATACCCTTCAGGGTCTGCCCATGCTGGCCTTCAGTCTGCCCAGAGGTGAGGCTACGTTCACTCAGCACCTTCTTGATCCCCAGCCAACAAGAATGCAGTGCAGTCTGTGCAGTATGGCGTGGCGGGCAGTGCAGCCTTCCTCGAGTGCCAGCCTCGCTCACCCCAGGCCACTGTTAAGTGGCTGTTCCAGCGAGATCCAGGAGACCGGCGCCGTGAGGTAAGCCCCCTGCCCACAGTCCTGAGAGGTGGCTGCAAATGTGGGGATCCCTCATGCAATGGAAGCTCCTTGTGGCTGAAATGTAGTAATGAGCAATCTGGGCCAACCCTCATTCTTTGAAACACCTTCCAGGCTTTCTCAAATTATCTCATTCAAATTATTTGGGTGAATCCTGTTATGTGGAAACTCCTGGAAGCAGGCCTCATGATATGGAAACCATTTATAGGCATGCCTCTTTGAATGAAAATTCCATATGTGTATCCCACTGCTGGAGTCCTGGGGGTGGCACTATGGGTTAATACACTGGACTGCAAAGTTGGTTTGAATCATAAGGTTGGCAGTTCAAGCTCACCATTGGCTCCTCAGAAACCCTACACAGGGTCACTATCGGTAGGAACAAACTCAGCAGCACTTAACAACAACCCAACTCCTGAATACCTTATTGTGTAGAAATGTCATGTGGAATTTTTGTAGGGTAACCCTCATTTTATGAAAATGCCTTATAGGCATTCTTCCTTCTGGGGAAATTCTATGTGGGTGCCTCAAATAGGTATCCTCATTAAATGGAAATTCCATGCCTGTATGCTCTGTTATATGGAATTTCTCCAATTGTACAAAACCTCCTAAGGGCATCCCTCCTGACATGGGAATGTTTAAGGATGCCTCATTCAGGTGCCTCTCATTTATGGAAACCTCAGGTGGGTTCAGAAACTCCACAGGAGTACCCTTGCGTGGAATGGTCAGTTGGTGGGTGGGACAGCGGGCGGTCACATGACCCCTGACCTACTTCTGCCTACCCCTATAGATCCGCACAGAGGACCGCCTCCTGCGTACGGAGCAGGGCTTGCTGCTTCGAGCTCTGCAGCTTGGTGACCAGGGCCTCTACTCCTGCACAGCCACAGAGAACAACTTCAAGCACGTGGTAACGCGAGTGCAGCTGCATGTGCTGGGCCGGGATGCCGTCCATGCTGCTCTCTTCCCACCACCAGCTGCCAGTGTCCCCCCACCCCCAGGCTCCGGCCACCCCACACCTCCCTACCAAGAGCTGGCCCAGCTCTTGGCTCAACCAGAAGTGGGCCTCATCCACCAATACTGCCAGGGCTACTGGCGCCATGTACCCCCCAGCCCCAGGGAGGCCCCAGGGGCACCTAGGCCTCCTGAGCTCCAGGACCAGAAAAAACCCCGAAACCGCCGCCACCACCCACCGGACACATGAGGCCAGCTGCCCGAGCCCTGCAGTGGGCCAGCCTAGACCTCATCCCTTTTAATATAAAAGATATATATATATAGATATATATATATAAAATATCTATATTCTATACACACCCTGCCCCTGCAAAGACAGTATTTATTGGTGGGTTGTATACAGCCTCAGTGGCAGCATTGTCCAGAACCTGGACCTGTGCTGATCAGAGACAGCAGAACACAACACAGAGCCCACCTTACCAGGCCCGGCCAGTGGAGAACACCGGACCAAGACCATGAAATCCCCAGATTCGGGTGGGAGTCTGCCTGCTCACCAGCCCCCACTAGGATCTACAGGACAGGGGGAGGGAAGAAGCCCTGCCTGGACGAGGCACAGACTGCAGCCCTGCGCCGACGACATGCTGTCAAGTTGTGCTGTGGCACAGACGTGGATTCGAGGACTACTTTGGAGACTGGGGGTGGGAGGGGTGGGCTCAGGTGCGCTCAGAAGAAGGGAACAAGGGGCCATCACAGGATGTAAGACCCTGCCTGGAAGGGGGCACTCAGCCTCAGCAAGGGCAGCCCCTTTCCGGGTATTTATTCTCTATTTATTGGGGACAGGAGGAAAGGAGTCCAGCTCCTCTTTCCCTTTCCTGCCTGGTCAGGACAGGGCTGCCCCATCTCCTAACTTTTCCTGTGCTACCTTGATTTGGGGCTGGGAGAATTGCACAGGGGCCAGGCCCAGGCTGGGCTGAGGAAAGTACCCAACCCTGAGGGTAGGGGAACCATGGTAGAGGCCTGGAGCCTGCAAGGACCTCTCCAGGGCTCTCCATCTGCCCACCACTCTAGGCAATGGGTGTAAATAGCTCTGGGGGGGGGGGGTTTGGGTAGGTGGGGGACTCATTGAAGCCCTCTGCTGTCCAGGCCATGGTGCCCTGGGATTCCATCTTGCTAATAAACACTGGCTCTGGGACTGGACTCCAGCTTCTCTTCTTGGGGGCAGGGAGGCAGTGGCTCAGCCCAAGCCCCAGATTCTGCTCTTCTAGTTCTGTATGGCCTGACCAACAACCAATTTCCAGACCTTTTTTACCTAGGCTTCTGTTGGACTCATTCAGCAGTTTAATCCATTTTTTTCTGTCACTGCTTCTTCATTGAGCTTTGTGCCCGGCCTTACTAATAATTGACAAGATGAAGTGGCAGTCCTCCAGCTGCCCCCAGCTGAGGAATCTGACAAAATTCCCCTCCTTGATCTTCTAGTACTCTCCTACAAGGCCCCTCCCACAAAACCCCACAGCCATCAAATACAACCATAGCAAACCTATATAGGGCTTCTGAGATTAAATCTTTACAAGAGTAAAAGCCTCATCTTTCTCTGATGGAGCAGCTGATGGATTTGAACCACTGACCTTATGATTAGCAGCCCAATGCCTAACCCACAGCAGCATCGGGGCTCCTTATAGAGGCCCCAAAACCAAACCAAACCAAAGCTACTGTCATCAAATTGAGTTAGACTCATAGGGACACGGCCTTGCATGAGCAAGTCCTCAGACGTGGGAGCTGCTGAAGAGGAGGTGGGGCTGAGGCCAAATTTAAGGAGTCAAGTTACAGAAGAAGTTGAGAGCTCATGGAAGGCCCATGGATCCAGCGGGTTTAGGGCTAAACCTAACGCACAAGAGCTAGGTATTCCACCACCAGCAGAAGACTGCATTGGTCTCTACTCGAAGCAAGCCCGGCAAGCAGAAATGAGGTTTGGGTTAGTGTAACGGCTGTGCACACCCCAGCCCACTCAATGTGAGATGAGGTGAATGGAGATCAAAGACTGAAAGTGGTACAAAAGGAAAAGTCTCCCAGATCTCCGTTCCCCAAGCAGTAGGAGCTAGCATCTACTTCCCACAGGACCCCATGTCTGGGGCCCTGACACCCTGTGGTCTCAGGTCTGCAGCCAAGTTGAATGATAGCAGCTAGGTTTCGGGGTGAGAGTCCAGCCAAAAGTTCCAAGGGCTCCAGAAGAGAGTCTTGAAAGCTCAACATTATATGCTCAACCCAATTCACTCCTGCATAGCAGTGTGCCCTGCCCACTTGAGCACACACCTGGACCTGGACGCCAGACTCATTGGTTGAAGTAGGTAGGCTCCAGAGGACACATAGGATGGAGCAGAGCAGGCTAGCCCCACTCCTCCATGCCCCTAGGAATGCCAGACTTGCTCTACAACTCAGTTTCTGCATTTGACAATGGACCTACAAAACATTCTCTAAAAGAGCTCAGCCATCTCTACAGATCAGGGGTTTTGTTGCACCCAAGTGCATGTGTACACAAAGGCACAAACACTTGTAAGCCTTCATGTATGCACACACACATGAACAAATACCCATGCTCACAGGAACATGCTTACTCAGGCACATTCATGCAGATGTGTATGGACAAACATTCCCATAAGTGCACATGTGCAACTACACACTCATGAACACACATGTATTGCACATGTACATGTATTCACATGCTTGTGCACATAAATGCAATAAATATAAACCCATACCAGCCTGTGCAAAGTATGCTTGCATGCACAAATATCTATGAAGAGAACTGCTTTTGTAAGAATACATATGCATAAACATGGATACACCAGCTCATGCACACAGCTTCATGTAAGAACACATGCATGCATGCACACACACAGAGGATAGTCATAGGTGTACATGCAGGCATTACCCACAAATGTGTCTAGTCACTGCCAGTGAAGAACAGATGCATAGGGGATGTGCATGTCCACCATCCTTCCTCCAAGGAAACATTTGAGGCCCTGCTGGATCCTACCTAATGGAGAAGATGCAGTGCCCACCTTTTCCCTCTTGAGCTCCAGCAGTGTATGGAATCCTGGTTCAGAGTCACCCTGCCCAGCTCAGCTACCTCATGCTATGCATGCTGTGCACCTCCACTTTCTCAGCAGGACAATGGAGCTGTTGTTATGGGCGCCTGTTCCCCCAGAGCTGGTGTTACATCAAGAGGAGGAGCAGGGCTGAGCCCCAAGCTATGCTCCATGCTTCTCCCTCTTCACCTCTCTGGCTCCACCTCCACCTCCAGGCTTGAAGGCCACTCCTCCCCTTTCTCAGGCCTGCACAAGTCTACAGACGCTGGGCAGGGCAGAACACCCTTCAGGGCCTTTCCTGGAGAGTTGAAGCAGGCACAGAGCATGCAGTCAGCAGATGAGGGATTGGGGTCAAGCCAGCCTGATTAGAAGGGTTGGGGGCTAAGCTGGCTTCACCTGTCCTTGACTCTGATTGGCTTTTGGACACCCCACCCCCCCAAATCCCACTAAGCAGCCCCAAACAGGGTCTGGTCAGGTCTGTGAAGTGCCAGTTGGTTGGTTGACAGTCCTGGGGCAGAAGGGCATCTGAGGAGGCAAGAGCCTGACTCTGGGGATCCCTCTACCCAGAAGAGTCACCTGCTCACCCTGCCCCTTCACTTCCTTCTAGGACTATGGGGGCTGGGGCCAGTGCAGAGGAGAAGCACTCCAGAGAGCTGGAAAAGAAGCTGAAAGAGGATGCTGAAAAGGATGCTCGAACGGTGAAACTGCTGCTTCTGGGTAGGGGTGAGGGACTAGGTGGGGTCAAGGCCACTAGGTCACAGCAGGCAGGTGGCCCTTCTGTGAAGCTAGGATTCCTTGGGAAGCAGAGTTAGCCTGTGACAGACAGAGCACAGAGTGGGAGTCCAGGCTGGATAAGGCTAGACCAGGCTTGACCCATAACACCACTCTCCAGAGGGCCTGTCTGCAGGCATCCACCTCCTTGCAGAAGTGTGTATGCTTGCATAAGGCACACTTTTGTCTGTGTTTCTCCAAGCTCTAGTCTTTGGCTTGATGGGCCTGCTAGGCAAAGACTAAAAAACCATGGACTTCATAGGAGTCCCACAATGTGAAGAAGGTTGCAATCTAGGAGTTAAGGTGTCTCTAGGATCATCCAGACCCCTAGACAAGTGCCAGAGATTTATTGGTGGTCAACCTCCAAAGAAGGAGTCCTAATGGTGCAGTGGGTTAAGCATTGTTGGGCGGCTCACTGCAAGGTCAGTTGTTCAAAGCCATCAAGTGCTCCATTGGAGAAAGATGAGGGTCTCTGTTTCTGTAAAGATTTACAATCTCAGAAACCCAAAGGAGCAGTTCTACTCTGCCCTTTAGAATCACTAGGAGTCAGAACCAAGTCAAGGGTAGTGAGTAGGTGGGATGGGAATTTCAAAGCAGCTGAAGGAGGTTAGAGGCATGAGGCCCAGCAATGAATAGCTAAGCCACGGTCCCATGGGTAGTTTGAAAAGGTAAACACTGACCCAGGTCTGCCTTTCTGCCACAGTCCAACCCCTAAAGGAAAGAAGAAGCTGTTTTATGAGGGCCACAAGGCTCTCCAAGGTCTAGTCAGACAGGTGGACATAGGCAGAGGGAAGTCAGAGATTAAGCTGGGAATCCCATTAACTAACGGTGGGTGCCCAGTGCTCTCATAGGGGCAAGCGTGGCGATATTCAGTCACCTCTGTTCTTCCTCCCATCCAAAGGAGCTAATTAATTCTTTCTGAATGTTTTGGAGACACACCAGTCCTCCTCCAGGTGAAAACCAAGGGTTGATCCAGATCAAGGAGCCCAGGTGGTATGCTTGTTAAGTACTTGATTGCTGACAGAAAGACTGGTGATTCAACCCACCCAGTTACTCTTTGGGAGAAAGATGTGAAGATTTGTTGTTATTTTTGTTAAATGCCATCAAGTCAGTTTTGACGCATAGCTACCCTGTATGGGGTTTCTAATGAGCAGCTGGTGAGTTTGAACCACTGACCTTATGGTTCAAACCAACCTTTTGTCCAGCGCTTATTCTACAATATCACACCAGGACTCTCAAACTTGGAAATCCTAGGGAACAGTTCTACTTTGTCTTACAGGATCTCTGTGAATCAGAGTCAACTCCATGACAATGGATTTGGTTTGGTATTTCTTTTTTTTTAACTTTTTATTGTGAATTGAGTGCGTGTTTAAAGAGCACATCACCACTTTTACATTCAGCAAATCATACTTCGTTTCATTATGGTTTATTTATTTATTTTATCCAGCTAAAATATTCGTGGAGGCCTGGTGTGGTGCTGTAAGACAAGCACTGTATCGAAAAGGCAGTTGAACAGCAGGTCGGCGGTTCAAACTCACCAGCCGCTCCTGGGAAATCCTATACAGGGTGACTATGAGTAAGAACTGACTCGACGGCACTTAACAACAACAAAATAATCGTAGTTGTTATGCATTGGGCTGCTAACCTCTAGGTAAACAGTTCTAATCTACCAGCCACTCTGCCGGAGAAAGATGAGGCTGTCTTCTCCTGTAAAGATTTACTGCTTCAGAAACCGTATACAGGGTCATTCTGAATTAGAATCCAGTCCACTACACACAACCACCCACCAGTAAAGTAATACCGAACTGGCAATATCAGAGTTCTCCACAAGGAGGCGCTCCAGGATTTGTTTTGGCTTCACATACTAAAGGCTGTGGAAACCTGGGAAGCGTAAACACTTCTGCGTTCGGCGCTAATATAAAGTTAGTTGAGGGAACTTGGCGATCTGCATCTATAAATATTAAAATAAAACAAAGCCTCTTGCCATTGAGTTGATTCCGACTCATAGCAGTCGTATAGGAGGGCAGTGTAGAACTTCCTCATAGAGTTCCTAGGCTGTAAATTGTTATGGAGACTTTCTTCAGCAGAGCCGCTGGTGGATTCAATCGACAACCTTTTGCTTAGCAGTCCAGTGCTTAACCACTGAATCAACGGGGCTCCTCCTGTAAAAATTACAGCCTAGAAAACTCTATGGGGCCATTCTACTCCATTAGATGAAGTTGCTATGAATCAAAATCAACTCAGTGGCACCTAACAATAATACCAGGGTGTCCCTAAGTGGTGCAAATGATTAATGTACCTGGGTGCCAGATGAAAAGTTGGAAGTGCAGAGCACCAGGGAAAAAAACCTGGCAATCTGCTTCATAAAATCTAGGCATCAAAAACACTGGGGTGGGGTGAGGGGGAACACCACCACCACCACCACTATGGAGCACAATTCTACTCTGGCACACTTGGGATCACCGTAAGTCAGAATTAACTTGACAGCAACTCACACTGCTACATCAGGGTGTGGGACTCAACACAGGTGAGGTTGCTGATTCCCCTCATTGTTCACTTTCTGCCATTTTCCTGACACTTTACAAAGGTTTTCCCTCTAGGGCTGTCAGACCTACTTTGCATGCGATTGGAGCAGGTGTGACTAGGGTTAGAACTGATGTCCTGGCCTCTTCTACTGAAGGTCTATCCCCATCAGACCCAGGCTTAATGCATCTCCCGGGCCTCATTTCCCGTGAGAAGGGTAGGGGTGGTCAGGTGACTCTGAGACAGTTTCCCTTCCAGGTGCGGGTGAGTCCGGGAAGAGTACCATCGTCAAACAGATGAAGTGAGTAACCCTGCTCATCCAGAGGTCCCTGGAGGTTGGTACAAGCACCGGGCCGGCCCCTTCCCACCAGCCCATTAGGCGCTGACTGGTTTGCCTCTTCTGCAGGATTATTCACCAGGACGGGTACTCATTGGAAGAGTGCCTAGAGTTCATTGCCATCATCTATGGTAATACGCTGCAGTCCATCCTGGCCATAGTGCGCGCCATGACCACACTCAACATCCAATACGGAGACTCTGTGCACCAGGTGCGCAGAGATACGGGCTGGGTATAGCCTTTGAGCAGGCAAAACTCAGGACAGGATCCCAGGTCACCATGATTACCCCCTCATCCCACCCCCACCTCTAGGACGACGCTCGGAAGTTGATGCACATGGCCGACACTATCGAAGAGGGCACGATGCCCAAAGAAATGTCAGACATCATCCAGCGGCTGTGGAAGGACTCAGGTGTTCAGGCCTGCTTTGATCGTGCCTCGGAGTACCAGCTCAACGACTCAGCTGGCTAGTGAGCGCACAGCCGGGCATGGGGAAGTGGGCGGGACCCTACCTCGCCCCACTCACCACACCCACGCCCTGGGATTTCACACAGCTACCTCTCGGATTTGGAGCGCCTGGTAACTCCGGGCTACATACCCACCGAGCAGGACGTGCTGCGCTCGCGAGTCAAAACCACCGGCATCATTGAGACTCAGTTCTCCTTCAAGGAGCTCAACTTTCGGTATGACCCCGCACTCTAGCTCAGGGCCTGCCCAGAAATCACCGCCTTGAGGTCCTGGAGGCCACATCCCTACAAGGGACCCTGCCCCTTCTCAGCCACCCCACTTGCTCACAGGCCCTGTCCCTCCAGATACTGTTTCATCAGAAATTTGAGAGCCCTCAGGCATCACAGGTAGGCGAGGGCATGCCCGTGGGCGTGTGCAAGCAGGTGTATGCTCAGGTTCAGGCCCCTATGGCCTCTGCAGGATGTTTGACGTGGGTGGACAGCGCTCTGAACGCAAGAAGTGGATCCACTGCTTCGAGGGCGTCACTTGCATTATCTTCATTGCGGCACTAAGCGCCTACGACATGGTGCTGGTGGAGGACGACGAAGTAGTGAGTGTTAAGTGGGGCCTGAAGGTTCCAGGAGGGAGACAAGGCTGCTGCCCGTTTGAAGAAAAAAGGGAGCGTCTTAGAGAGAAAGCTCCAGTAACCCCGCCAAAGGTGGACAGACTCACGCTGGGGCAGGCGCTCTCGGAGCCGCCAAAGCGAGAAGACCCCGCGTGCCCCAGGAGTTAGGGGAGGAAGACTTGGCGCTTGGGACAAGACCCTGTAGGGGCGGCGGTCGGTCGTATTCTTGGGCGTTCAACAGCCCCCTTGTTCCCCAGAACCGTATGCACGAGAGCCTGCACCTGTTCAACAGCATCTGCAATCACCGCTACTTCGCCACTACGTCCATCGTGCTCTTCCTCAACAAGAAGGATGTATTCTCCGAGAAAATCAAAAAGGCCCACCTTAGCATTTGCTTTCCGGACTATGACGGTGAGACCCCGCCAGGCGACGCCCCAGCATCACAGTCTCTGCCAGTGCTCCTCACCCGGGTTCGATGGAGTAGGAGATGATTTGCAGCAGGGAGTAAGAACCCCCCTTCCCAATCCCAACCCAGGACCCAACACCTATGAGGATGCTGGCAACTACATCAAGGTGCAGTTCCTCGAACTCAATATGAGGCGTGATGTGAAGGAAATCTACTCTCACATGACATGCGCCACCGACACACAGAACGTCAAGTTCGTCTTCGATGCTGTTACCGACATCATTATCAAGGAGAACCTCAAAGACTGTGGGCTCTTCTGAGGTTGAGTCTTCCGGGCCTGGGGAGTGAAGAGGGAGTAAGTAGTAATCCAGGGTCCCGCCCCTTCGTCTCAATATTCCAAGCCCCGCCCCCAGCTACTGAGTTACAGTCCCAGACCATCAGGCCATGCCCAGGACTACAAGCCCTGCCCCAACTCTAGGACCCTACTCTACTTCCAGATGCCTCACCATGAACTTCCAGACTGCATATTTCCCCGGCTCAAAAACCCAAACCAACCACTGCTGTACTGAGTTGGTTGTGACACATAACTACCCTATAGGACAGAATAGAATTAATCCGTAGGGTTTCCAAGGCTGTAAGTCTTTACTAGAGCAAACAACCTCATCTTTTTACCACAGAGTTGTTTGGTGGGTTTGAATCCTGGGTCTTGCAGTTAACAGCCCAATGCTTAAATCACTGTACCACCATGGCTCTTGGTGGCTCATTCCCAACTCCTAAGTTCCACCCATTTAAATTTATTTTGACACCCCCTGCCTCCAGTGTCACAACTTCCACCCTACCACCACAGTGCCTCTCAGTATGAGCTGAAGTATCTTGAGGCTCACATACTGATTCTGTTCTGTTTTCTCTTCCCAGGTGCCTGAACTCATGTACTTCCCTTACCCTAAGTCTCTATAGATTTAGCTACCTTGTAGTCCCAGCCCCCAGGACCCCATCATTCCTCCAAGATTTCTGGAACTCAGCCTATAGTCCACCAACTACAGACTAAAAGCTCTGATTTCTACCAACCTTGAAGTCCAGACCCTTTCTTATAACCCTCAGGTCTCCTAGAGTCCAGTGACTCCAACCCCAGCCCTGCCCTTCACAGCTCAGCTGCACTGGCCTTCAGAACCCACAGCAACCAGCCCCAGCTAGGAGCAGGCAAGACGGAGGCAACAGGGCTCACAGTGACTCAGCAGGGCCCAACTAACCAATCCCCAGGGGCTCTAGGACTCACCTGGGGGTCTGGGCTCAGCAAACCTCCCTCCCTCCCAGAGTTTCATGAAGGACAGGGGGCAGGTAGGGATCTCTCCTCCAGGCAGCCCACTCTAGCCCAACCACCTCCATGTGACAAGCCTGACACCTGTCAACCCAGAGTCAGTAGCTGTCCCAGCAACTTCAGGGGCCCAAAGTCCAGGCTTGCTCTGGCATATGCAGTTCCTGTGTAAATGAATTCATGAGTAAGGGGCAGGCCTGAGAGCTCAAACTGGACTCCTCCCTACAAAACCAGGCTCAGAATCTCCCCTAGCCCCTTCCCCCACAGGCTCTGCCCATTCTGTCCTTGGACACCAGATCCATGCCCACCTCACCTACCCACACACCGTACTCTGGCCCAACCGGCCAAGCGGAAGGTCTGTTGGGGAGGGTACTGTTGACACCAACTGTGACCAATGGTCAAGCCGTCCTGAGGGGTGGCTGGGGCAGAGTCCGGCTGTCATCGATCAGAGTAAGGCTGAGCATTCCAGACAGGATGGAGGCTCAGGCTGTGCCTAGGTGGGGTCATGAGTAAACCCTAGTGCTTGCCAGTGACTTCTTTCACCTCCATTCAGGTCCCATTCCCAGACAGGGAAAACTGAGAGCCATACTGAACCATTAGAGACTTTCAGCCCATGTCCCCCATATCCCTGCTCCCTCCTCCTTCACCAAGCATCAAATCTTTGCTGGGACTTGAACTAGAGCCTGTGCTTCAATGGAGACAAAGAGCTTCTATCTGGCAAGACCAAGCCATGATTCACACTCCCTTCAGCTAGATGCACAGACTTAGCAATAAAGCTTTGTGTATCAGGTGCTAGTTGTCCTTCCTGAGGGCACTGGGAAGGCAGTTAATTCTCAGGATTCATCGGAATTTATTAAGTGCCCAGTCTGGACTGACCATGAGGTAGAAAGGTGGCTCAGTCCAAGGAGAAGCAACTGGCTTGACTTGGTGGGGGCCACTCCAGAGGGTATATGACCAAATTGTGCTTCTTTTTTTCTTTTTAAGTTTTTATTGTGAATTATGTGGGTTTACATGGAAGAACATCAGTTTTACATTCATCCTATTGTGTTTCATTTCATTGCAATGATCACAATACCCTCCATCATCAAATAACCAAAGGATACACCCCACAGTCCTGCCCCTACCCCCTGGCCATCAGCACACAGCCCCTCTCCCTCCCTAAGTCCAGTGTCCCCAGCTGCTTCATCAGTCCATGTCATCATCATCATTGTCATTGTCATCGTCTCTGTCTCCATCCCTGGCATCACTGCCTTTCTGGGTAGCGTCACACTCTCTGCTCTAATAACTTGATGGTTCCAGGGACCTCCACTCCTGGGCTGCAAAATCAATCACTCCCTTTTGTCAAAAAACATCTACCTCTACATTTCCAACCCTCACATTCAGTCCTGCTGGCAATTATTCACTATTGTACCACATGAGTCTTATCCCCATTTCCTTTTGCCAGCCCAGTCCCAGCAGATTGGAAATCATTCAGTGGAGGTTCTACCTATCCCTGCCCGTATGGAACTAGGCTCCCTCTTGAAAGCTTGTAAGCCAGTCACTTCTTGCCTTCATAGCCCTCCCCCACATTTTGAGTAGCCAATGTCTAACTTGTCCATCCTTGTCAACCCTGTGTACCAAGGGTGTGGGAGTGTTCCCTTGCTGTAAAGATTTGTTCCATTTTTTGAGCTACTACATATAGGTAAAGTTCATGAAATTGTAGTGGATTACTCTTCTTTTTCTTCTTCCCTCTTGTTTCTTCTTCTAGTTGAGTTCTGATCATCCAGCCATCAAAGCCAAGTCAAGTGGCTTTGTGCATCTCCCTCACTTCATATCAGCTGGACATTTCACTCTCTGCTCTAGTCCTCTGTGGCCATGCCACTGCCTCTGGGCCCAGGAGTTCCCAGGTCATGCCATAACTGCTGGCCATCCAGGTCTCTGCCTGGGTTCACAGGAGTCTATTGAATGTGGTCCCACTTAAATCCCAACTTGAATGCTGTTTTTTCCCCCTCTTCCCCATATCGGTGACTAATGTGGTCACCAGCCAGACCACATGCCTGCTCGTGTATTCCCCTTGAGTCTTTGTCTTGGAAGGCAGTTTGCTCTGAGGGGACCTGACCACTTGCCTTGATGGCTCCCAGGCGAACAGCTTACTTGTTCTTGTAGTAATCAATCAGACTGCCGTTATTGTTTTGGATTTTTCCTGCTGGTCTTTCTTCACAAAGTATATTCTGTTCTTCTAGCCGCTCCAGGCTGGTCTACTCTTCCTTTCCAGTGAAAATTTCCCACCTCAGGCAACAAATTGTTCTTCTTGAGAGTGGTTCATAGAAGGAGAGGAGACACCGGGAAATGTTTACAGAGACAGTCTTGAATCAAGGGAGAGTTTTGAGGAGGAGGCTCATTCAGCGGGGGCAGTGGGTGTAAAAAATAAAAAAAACAGGAGCATAAAGTTGTAGGCCACAAAAGTTTAGGGGAACATCCTTGACTGCCTAATGAATATTAGTTTCCCTTGCCTACTATTGTAAAATAGACACTTGAGTGGTATAGAAAGGAATGTTGGGAAACATGATTAGAGAAAACTTGTAAGCC